TTCAATTTCTACAAGGGGAAAGTAGAAAAAAAAGAGAAGGAACTGTTTTACACCTACACTGTACGTCACACATTGGTCAGTGGTGTTGTTGTCAATAAAGTAATATTTAAAGTTAATGAGAATATTACAACATTAAAGTTTAATATTATTATTATATTCAACTCCTTTTTTTGATCAAACTTCATTGACTGAAAAACAGTTTTGCACTAGCTATCGGTGAAAACACGTCACATTTTTATCAGACGTTCCTGTTTAAATTCAAAGGTTTTTTTTTTTTTGCTGACAGCCTCTCCCTAATAATATATAATAGCAAATGGTACAGTTACAACATTGTTGCACTTGACAAGCTAATTGTTAGGTATATTCAGTATTCAGCTTATGTTCTAAAAAACTTTCTTGTAAAGAACTTTCTTTTATTGCTCTTCTCATTCCACTTTAACTATTTTTGCACTGATTACGTTTAGTTATATACGTATAACGTATGCCGAACAAGGTAGAAAAAGAGGCGCATACAGCGACTGTCATCAAAAATCTGTGTTATTATTTTAATTGCTCTTTCATTTTTCTATGAATTTGCTTTCAATGTTTTTGATTTAGATAGTTTCTAAAGGTGTGGCAGTTGTAATGAGCGTGCTGAACGGAAGTACAAAGACTAATGGTAATACAAATCTCTTAAGAGAAAAGAAGGAAATCCAAAAAATTTGGAATGGCCTTACAATTAACAACAGTTGGGAAAATTTTGTCATCGGCATTCCACGGTCATTTTCAGCATTAGGTAAACTTTCTTCTTCTTTACCAAATCTCACTTATCGGTCTATGTAAATAAAATTTTCTCACTCATTATGTATTGTACTTCACTCAGACTTAGTGTAATTAGTAATTATTGCGATAAATTTTTTGCAATCTAGACGACCTTGTCGGTTAAGCATGCAACAAATGGTGTCAAATGACAAACCATCAAACTACTGTAGTGTATGCAGCAGTGTCAATGACAAATAGTCTCAGATAATTTAAACCTCATAGTCTACAGATTTGACACTTTTACCGCAAAAATTTAAAAGAAGAAAATTATAGAGTTTTAGTAGAGAAACTTTAAATGATCAACTATAATTAAAAAAGAGAAAAATATTTGTTTGTTATAAAAGAATATAATTTTATAGCAGTGCAATTGTTGAAAAAGAAAAACAGCCTATTTAAAAGTATTTTTTTAGGAATTTAAAACAGGAAAAATCTAGTGGTTATTGCTAAGCAATAATTTTAGTAGAAACTTCCAAAAACTTTAAATAAAATGAGGACTTGAAGCAATGATAGAATAGGTTTGAAGAAGAAGAGGTAAACAAGCACGAATACAGTGCACAAAGACTGACAGTCGGTTTTTGATTTGTATAAATATCCTGAGATATCTGAAGGTTCGCTCTAGTTGGAAACGCTTATCTTGACAATATCTGAAAAATAAAAACAGTTATAAAAATATAATTTAAAAAAAATGTGTTACTGTTGATCTAAGATTAGCTATAGGCTTACAAATTTCACTTTTAAAATTTACTGAAAAAACTCTATTTTGATAATGCAGTAGTTTAAAGTTAAGTGGAAACAACATGGTTATACAGAAAGTTTTATCCTGAGCTAGTTTTTTTTTTAGGTTTCTTTGTAGATTTGACTCTTGTATGAAGTAATAACGACTCATTTTTTCATGTAGTAACAAATAGCTGCGAAATTAACATTTGATTTTCTTTCCCAATTCTATAAAAGTTTTCACTTATATTGAAAAAAAAAATGCTCTATAACTGTTTGTATATTATGGAACTACAGAAAAACTACTGGTGGAGTCTCTGAATTATTCGCCTCTGTCAACCTACAGCGAAGGAAGAGCACCCAGTGCTATAGAAACTAAAACGAGGACAAGTTCTGAAAGTGCAACGAATGACTTGACTGTACGTTCAGCAGACTTTTTAATGAAAGCTAGCAGCACATCAGGACTCAAGTCTCATCTGGTTAAAGTAAGCTTAACTTTCTCAGTTACTAAAACTTAGAAATTTGAAAGATTACTGGATATCAATTTCAGGTTGTTACTGAAGCTCACAAAGCTCTTGAAAATGCTGCTAAAAGTATGGAACTGATTCGCGCGAATGCCGCAGAAATACCAAAAGTTGTAGAATCAATCTTAAATACTCTCAGCAAGGTCAGTCTTCTGCGAGTTCTTCTGTCTATTCTTTCTTAGCGACAAAACCGTTTGAACAGTTTTGCAACTCGACTACTTGGAAAAGTTGCCACAAATGTGTCATACGATCTATCCTATTAATTTTTAATTTTTTTTGTTGTTTTACAGCCAAAAACTGAAACTTTGGAAAAACACTTGAATGCCAGATTCAAAAAATTACACAAACTTATTGAAAACTGTGCCCGACCAGCATTCTCGCTAGAATCTAATTCCTTGCACTTGAGTGAACTATGCGATGGAAAAAATGTCAGAGTTGGAAGAACAGGTGAGACTTTCCAAGCCAACCCTGAATTTAACAAATTTAACATATCACTTATTCAAACAATAACTGTTATGATTTCTCAAAAACTGTTTTGAAATTTTTTAGGATTTATGCTTCTGCTTGAAGTAAAAGGATTTTTTGAGAGAATTACGCAATTCTTCTTAGAAGTGAGCAAACTAGTCGAATTTACATTAGATACTTCTGCAAATACACTAATTGGTACCATTGGTGAAGAAGTAGACTTGATGTTAACACGCCCAAAATATTCTCTAAAACCAAAGTCGGTTAAAGAGGTAAACATTTTAGTTTTCTAGCAGTTAGTATTGTCTGTGTAATACTTTAGGTTTTTGAGTACATAATGTATCTTTAATAAAGTAAGTGGCAACAAATTTTTTTGCATCTGTTAGCCAATCTTAAATTTCAAAGCTAATCTGCATACCATCAGAGTGATATTATTATTATTTTTTGCAGATTTATCGCACTTCTCTCTCTGTAGTTGTATACTCTCTCGTATTACGACAGATTGGTTCTTCATATTGCTATTTCACGAATAACTTCATGTTACCGCAAACTAATACACTTTTCCAGTATCCTTTTGTCAGCAACAGCGAAGTTGAGTTGAAGAAAAAAAAGACGGAATTTCATATTTTGAATTCAAATTGTAGAAAGGTAACTGCTATAATTGGCTAAAAAAGAATAAAAAGAAAAACCGGTTATTTTTGATACCGTTATTTTATGCTTTAAAATTAATTGATTGCAAAGTCTCACAGATTAGTTTCAGCATCTACAAGAAATGATTTCAGGAGATCGACAAAATCTTCAATACTGATAGAACAGCAGCTAAACGAATTTCAGTGTTGGAAATTGATTTTGGTTTAAATTTACACCTTAGTGATGTGGGTACTGAAGTTAATGAACCTTTGCTGACAATCGCAAACTTCGCTGCGCCAGTAGATCTTAGCGTTGTCAAAGCATCTGCAACCGATAATGTTAAAGTCAGTTCAAATAGCTAAAAAAAACAAAGAGAATAAACAAAAAGTTGTTGGACTCTCAATGCTTCTGAAACTGAAGTTCACCTAATAATCATTTTAGAACCGTGTAAATAGTTTTGTAACTCGACTACTTGGAAAAGTTGGCACAACTGGCACAGAACGATCTACAGTTTAACGACTCGGTAAATTTCTGTAAACACACGGCTGCAGCTCGTTTCTTCAACATCTTTATCCCCTTCAAAAATTAGTCACAAGAAATCAGAGATTAGTAATTTTTTTAAAGGTTGTCTTTTGAAGTGTTAGCTGTTCAGTTTATTTGTCAGAGAAAAAAAAAAGTGTATCAGACTTAAATCGTGTTTTGAACAAACCAACAATATAAAAAGGAAAAAGGAGCAAAAAACGAAATTCAAGAGAAGAGTATAAATTAGGCTGAGAGTTTTTTTAACAAGAAAAGAAAATAGGGCTAAAAACACTGGTTCAAGATAATTGTCAATCTATTTTTGGTACAATTTATAATGGTTTTTTGCAAAGCTAACGGTATTTATAAAAATAAAAGTAATAGTAAAAGGAAGATAAGGATGTAATATAAAACAATCTGTCTGAATCTGGTCATACAGTTTAACGTAACTGTTTTTGCTCTTTTTTTGTAATCACTGTTAATACATTGACAAAAGGTAGTTACATTAGTTATGCTTTAGTCTGGTGAATGTCTATGATAACAGATATGTAAGAAATAACACTGGTATTATATTAAATCTCGTTGTTTATTGTAAGCAGCGATAATTCAAGTGAATTAGGAAGAGATTATGATTGGTGGTAAAATTTTGAATTTGTACAAATGTGTAAGTATATTTTTTTAACTGAAAATTTGCTTTAAAAAAAAAAAAAAAAGAATAAAACAAACTTTTTGATTTTTGTAGCTTTTTTTTTTTAATATAAAAAACTGAACAAGAAACAAAAAGGAAAACTTGATCTTTGATGTCAAAGAGGGTATATTGTTGGTTATCAAAATTGATTGGGTACAGTGATCAAAGCAAACTTTGTAGTTGCTTTAGCGGTAGTTGTTAATGTATTCAAATAGATTATTATCGTTGTCTGTAATACAGATCTGTTGTTCACGGTACCCTATTTGTTCAGTTTTTTACCTGTAATAATTCCAAATTGGAAATCTTAAATGCTGAAAAAAAGGTTTCTTTTTTTTTTTGCCAAAGATTTAGCAAATCTGTAGAATTATATGTATTTACTGTTGATTTGTTACACTTTCTCGTTCTTGTTTCCTTTTCATGTTTTATTTTATTTATGTGTTTTTTTTTGGCTGAAAATAAAACAGTCTTATTCCATTTTCTTGTTAAGCTTCTTGGTATTTGTACAAAAGATACAGAGTAACAGATGTCATATACAACACTTCCGGGAGTGAAGCATATCAAAGGTGGTTATTGCCTGCTTCTTTTTTTTTTTCAAATAAAATGATGATTATCAGATGCAGTGGAAATGATCAAAAAGGGAAGAAAAAAGTCAGGGAATATGTAAAAGAACTCATTTTAGTTGCCAACAAAAAAAATACTTTTAAAGCTGCTAAAATAAAAACCAAACTGCTGAAGGCTTTACTCGTATTCTGTGTATAAACGTAGCGTTATACTTTGGTACAACTGCGTTATCATTTAGTTACCTGAATAAATTTTAAATGTTTTCATTTCGTGAATAAAATTTACTAAAAAGAAAAGGAACCGGTTTAAGTTTACTTGGGCATTTCAATAATCTGTTTCTTAGCTTTGGGCTCTTCTTTAATGATAAAAATCAATGGTTTTGATATCTGTTTGAATCCAATTTTTCTTTTAAAACGTTTTTGTTATATCAGAATTCGTGCCATTATTTTGCTTATAAAATACCAGATTCTTTTTCTGATACCACGTATTTATCAGATATTGTATTGCTCTGTAACTGTCGACAATAGGATATGGTTGTAAAAAAGAACTGAACACCACTATGTTACTTAGTAAGTCAGAGGTATTAAAAAACTGACAAAAAAAATTGTTCACCGGCATATGTCACATCAGAATTCGCAAATTCTGGTAATTATTCTAGAAGTTAACAACGACAGAACAACATCAAGTACTGGCATAACTGTGCAAATCATAATTTTCACTGCAAATTTTACGATCAGAATGGAATATGAATGAAAAATTACCTGGAAATTAAGCTGCAAAAAAGTTTTATCAACAATACTTTAGAAAAAAAATTTGGTGTTTTTTTTTCACTTTCTTCTTTTAAAGTGCATTTAATCGAGAAACAGTAATTTTTATTTTATTTCTTTTTGTTTTTTTTTTCTTTTAACAATAAGAAATTGATTTATTAATGAAAGATAAAAGTAAAACTAGGAGACGGTTTGTATTATGAGGATTGCGCAAACATATGATTAAAGACAGTTTGGGCTATTATTATTTAATGGTTTTGTTAAGGTAGGAAATCAACAGGTGCTCTTTGGTTTTCTTTCATTGATAACACCAAAAATAATTCAGTTAAAGGTTAAAAAAAACATCATATTTTGTTATACAACTTTTTTTTATTTCTGCTTTGCTGTATATTAGTGAATTGAATTTTTTTTTCCCGTGTTTGTGCTGCTGCCATATATTACAGATGCATATAAGGAGTTATTCGATTATGTGTTATGAATTTTGCAGTTTAAATCTAAGGATCAGTGATATTCTGTGAATCATTAGGGGACATCACATCAATTTCAGTGAATAAAAATCTGCTGTTTAGCAGAAGCCAGCTGATGGACTTAGTGTATGATTCATTAAATGCTAAACAGATTCTGCAGAACAGTTTGTTCTGCAAAATCTGTTTAGCATGTTATTATCAGCGCTAAAGTCGAGCTACTTTCGGCGGTTTCTTTCTGGATTCAAACTTCAACCATACGGCTTTGTCTGTGTGTGATAATTTTAGTAAAGAGTCACCGTGGCAATGTCACAGTATTGTCTTTTTCTTCTTTTTTGATAACGGCAAACTAAAAAAAAAAAAAAA